CATTGACAGAGAAGGGACACAGATGAGGAAGAACAAACCTGACTGGGGGTTCCATCATGAAGCTGGTTTTGGACACAGTGAATGGGCCTTCAGGTGGAATGCCCAGTGGATAGGCAGACTTAAACGATCTAGTACTTGGCAAAGAAATCTGGGCTGTACCTATCTATCTTAGAGTTAACAACATATATATTTTGATAGTATCAGAAGCTGGAGAAGGATCTTGATGAAGCAAGATTGTCCAGGGAGAATATGGAGAATGAAAAGGAACAGAGAAAAGGGTGGAGCCTGTGGAACATCAGCATCTAGGGTGTATATGTTTTGGCAAAGGTCTGGAAAGCTCTGCTGAAAAGAGAAAATTCTAAGGATGGCTGAAGATGTTTGGTTGGAGAGGAAGGAGGAAAACCAGGAAAAAGTAATATTGCCAAAACCAAGAAAAGTTTTAAACAAGAAGGGAATGGTCAATAATGGCTATGAAGTCGAGCCTGAAACGTTGGACTTGGCTGTTGTGAGGACATCAGTTGTCTTGTGGAATCATTTCCTGGGGATGAGGTGGGGCAGAAGATAGAGTGTAGTCAGGAGTGCATGAAGCTAAGTAGACAGCTCTTTCTAGAACTTTGGCTACACACAGAAAAAGAGAGATGGGTTGATAGCTAAAGGTTAGAGGTGTGGGAAGTGTGGTGGGACTCAAGCTGAGGAAAGGCTTTTGTTTGCTTTAAGACAAAAAAGACCTAAGCTCGTTTGCAGGCCAAGGGTGAAACATTTGAGAGGAAGAAAGCTGCCAGTCAGTTCTTGGATCATCTTGGCTTTGCCCTTTCCAGAATCGCCTTTGGATCAGACAGACTTTGCGCTGCTTCCAGCGAAGCTCTTTCCTCCCCACAGATGTAAGACTCCTGCTCCAAATTGTCCTAAATCCAAAAGATAGGATCTGTTAGAGTCTTTTATTGTAATTCAATCCCTAAATATGTAACCAGAAAATTATAAGAAAAACTTTTCCTGAAGGAACTTCAAAGACTACTGTTAAGGAGTTTACTTGCAATGGAAACAAACCTTCTGGTTTCAGAAAATCTTGATTATGCTATGTCAGGTTGATCAGGAAGGATTTTGTGTGATTCTGGAAGAAGCTGGAACAGTTTTGGTGTTTTGAGGAGGTAGCTACTTGAATCCTAGCAGTTGAAAGATCAGTAATACATCTTTCTATAAAGCTCTGTCTTCTAGCCTGATGAATGAGACTTTAAAAATATTAAATTAGGCCAGGAGCGGTGGCTCATGCCTGTAATCTCAGGACTTTGGGAGGCCGAGGCAGACTGATCATTTGAGGTCAGGAGTTTGAGACCAGCCTGGCCAACATGGTGAAACTCCGTCTCTACTAAAAAATATAAAAATTAGCCAGGCATGGTAGCAGGTGCCTGTAATCCCAGCTACTCAGGAGTGTGAGGCAGGAGAATTGCTTGAATCTAGGAGGTGGAGGTTACAGTGAGCCAAGATTGTGCCATTGCACTCCAGCCTGGGCAACAGAGCAAGACTCCGTCTCAAAAGATTAAAAATAATAATTAAATAAATAAAATAAGAATATTAAATTATCCAGCATTAAATGATGTAAAATGGATTGAGATGAGTCCCATCTCCCCTTCACCAGGCTTACAAATGGATGTTTTTCCATCCCAGATATACAAACACAAGATAGAATAGCAGAGCAGTTAGGTTTGCTCTCCAGCCACACTAAACTTTGTGAGTGGATTGAGTATTATGAGAACATCTTTCTGTTTAGGTTTGTTTGGGAAAATGTGGTTTTTAAATTGTAGATAATATAGTATCTACTACCTAGTTCTTGGTAACCGTGCTCATTTATAGGCGTGGCAGACTAGAGATAGATGAAGGAGGGAAGAGAATTTCCTGAGTCTGATTTTTAAAGAAAATGTACTTGTAGCTTGCCAGACCTTTGCCAAAACATATGCACCCTAGATGCTGATGTTCCACAGGCTCCACCCTTTTCTCTGTTCCTTTTCATTCTCCATATTCTCCCTGGACAATCTTGCTTCATCAAGGCCCTTCTCCAGCTTCTGATACTATCAAAATATATATGCTGTTAGCTCTAAGATAGATAGGTACAGCCCAGATTTCTTTGCCAAGTACTAGATCGTTTAAGTCTGCCTATCCACTGGGCATTCCACCTGAAGGCCCATTCACTGTGTCCAAAACCAGCTTCATGATGGAACCCCCAGTCAGGTTTGTTCTTCCTCATCTGTGTCCCTTCTCTGTCAATGGCACCACCATCCTTCCAGCTGCCCAAGCTACAAGAAAATTACATGTTGTAATCTTAGGAGGCAGATTTACATGTAGCCATTTCCAGAGTAAAGAGATATTTTCTTATAAAGAAATCATTAAATGTGCAACAGGTTTTTTTCTTTTTACCTCCAGAGGTTAAACAAATTGGTAGCATGAAATAGTGTCTGCTTTAAATTTCTTTAAAGTTATTTTGTAAAACTTAATATCCACAGGAATATAACTGTTAAAAAGTTTACCCCAGGGACAGAGACATACAAGGGAGGAGAAATTTCTCAAAAAAATGCCTCAGAAAATAAACTTTCTGACCTGAAGGGAATTGTCCCCCAAAAAGCCCGTGGGAACTAAAGTGACTGTTTACTTATGTTTATGATATTTAAGCAAGTGTTATACTGAGCAGTGGTTGTGTTGAAGGTTGTTGTGTATTTATTCTCAGTTTGTGTGTAATATTACACTTGTTCTGGCTAAGATTATACACACAAACAGACAGCCTGTTAGTGAGAAGCCTTCGTGATGTTTTGAATTGGTTGAATCATCAGGGCTACTCTCACTAGCTACATAACCTCATTAGTTGAGAAGCTATCTCTGGAGGAAGTCTCAGTAGCTAAATGTTTTCTATGTTCAATAAGAGTTCCATTCAGTTGCTTATTTTTTTCCTTTTCAAAGTGCCTTACAACAAATAAATTTGTACCCAAATGCTATATTGCTGGAACTCTTTCCTTCAGGAGGCATGATGTAAAGAAGGAAATTGAGATATTTTGTAAACTATCAAAGGGAAGTAAAACGTTAACAGTAGATTAAAGCCTATTTCCTTTTGCTTTGTAGGAATTTATCCGAGAACAAGTGGAGGTAAGCTTTTCTCTTATTTGGGGGTTTCACGCAGAAGTGCCACACATAAAAGGCTTCATTGCCCCATTTCTTTTTCCTGTTAACAATGTGTTTGTGCATTAGCTACTCCAGACCACAGGAGGCATCCAAGGGATCCTGCCACTGACTGTCCAGAAGGTGCTGGCATCCCAGGCCTGCCATGGTAAGCCCTTTAATAGAGCGGCGATCGAGCACCTCTACATGCAGAGCCCTGGTAGGGGTGCCGGAATTATGAAAGAAGCAGAAGGCACATTTCTCACTTGACTCTGAGAATACAGTTTAGATCAAGAAACTGAATATACATTTAAAAATCACTTTTACTAAAACAAAATCCAAGCACACAAATTTTACTATAATGCTCCCTGACCTATATGAATGGAGGAATTACTTCTAGAGGAGATGCATTTTGAGTTGAATTTTGAATGAGCTGAGGAACATGGATTCACATCATGGAAGGGGGAATTCACTGCAGGGAGAGGAAACAGCCTGTGCAGAGACACAGAACAGCAACAAGTTGGTTATATGAGAAGCGGCGAAGAGTATCAAGAAACTAGGCAGGTAAGAAAGAACAGGAGCCTAGAAGGTCACAGCAGAACTTTTGGATTTCATACAGAGGGCATTAGAATTAGCAAGTGTTCTTTTTTTTTTTTTTTTTCAAATTTTCTACAATACTTTCCTCACTGGATAACCAACGTATCTTTTTTTTTTTCATTTTGTTTTTTTATTTTTTTTTTTTCCCAACTTTTATTTTAGGTTCAGGGAGTACACATGCACTTTGTTGCGTGGGTGAATTGCGTGTCGCAGGAGTTTGGTGTACAGATTATTTTGTTACCCAGGTAATGAGCATAGTACCCAATAGGTAGTTTTTCCATCCTTACCCTCCTCCCATCCTCCACCCTCAAGTAGGCCTAGGTGTCTATTATCCCTTCTTTGTGTCCAGTATGTATTCAGTGTTTAGCTCCCACTTGTAAGTAAGAACATAGAGTATTTGGTTTTCTAATTCACTTAGGATCATGGCCTCCAGCTCTGTCTATGTTTTTGCAAAGGACATGATCTCGTTCTTTTTTATGGCTATATAGTATTACATGGTGTATATGTACCGCATTTTCTTTATCCAGTCCTCCACTGTTGGGCATTTATGTTGATTCCATGTCTTTGCTATTGTAAATACTGCTGCAGTGAGTATAACACATACATGTGTCTTTATGGTAGAATGATTTCTATTTCTTTGGGCATATTCCCAGTAATGGGATTGCTGGGTTGAATGGCAGTTTGTTTTAAGCTCTTTAAGAAATCTCTAAACTGTTTCCACAGTGGCTGAACTAATTTATATTTCTCACCAACAGCGTGTAAGTGTTCCATTTTCTCTGCAGCCTCGCCAGCATCTGTTATTTTTTTACTTTTTGACAGCAGCCATTCTGACTGGTATGAGATGGTATCTCACTGTGATTTTGATTTGCATTTCTCTGATGATTAGTAATGTTGAGCATTTTTTATAGGCTTGTTGGTCATGTGTATGTCTTCTTTTGAGAACTGTGTGTTCATGTCCTTTGCCCACTTTTTTTAATAGGGTGTTTTGGTTTTTGCTTGTTGACTTATTTAAATTCTTATAGATTCTGGATATTAGGCCTCTGTTGGATGCGGTTTGCAGATATTTTCTCCCATTCTGTAAGTTGTCCCTTTATTCTGTTGATAGTTAATTTTGCTGTGGAGAAGCTCTTTAGTTTAATTAAGTCTCAGTTGTCAATTTTCGTTTCTGTTGCAATTGCTTTTACAGTCTTTCTTATGAAATTTTTGCCAAGGCCTATGTCCAGAATGGTATTTCTGAGGTTTTCTTCTAGGGTTTTTATAAAAAGATGGAATGCTTCAGGAATTTGCATGTCATCCTTGTTCAGGAACCATACTAATCTTCTCTGTATCATTCCAATTTTATTATATGTGCTGCCAAAGCAAACACCATTGAGGATTCTTGTGAACAGAGTAATATGATACAATATAGAAAATGGGGATTTGGGTGTGTGGTACACACCTGTAATCCCAGCTACTCAGGAGGCTGAGGCAGGAGGGTCTAGGAGTTTGAGACCAGCTAGGGCAATACAGTGAGACTCTGTCTCATAAACGAGTGAATGAATGAATAAAAGAATCAAAGAAAATGGTATTAGAGGAATATACTTCAGGGATCATGACAGTTACAGAATCCCCTGCAGCTATCATTGTGGTCAACACAATGGGGTCTCCAACCCAATGATCCCCTCCCCATTTTATCCTCCATCAGCCTTCTTCTCTCTTCACTTCCTGTCTTTCCCAGCTTTATAACCACACTCCATCATTAGTCTGTCTCCTGCAAAAATCCTGAAGTCCTTTCCCCTTCATCTTATCATTACTCCTTACATATACTCGAACATAGCTTGACTCTGCCCCCACCCAAAACCTCATTTTGAATTATAATCCTCATAATCCTCATGTGTCAAGGGTGGGACTAGGTGGAGGTGACTGGATCATGGGGTCAGTTTCCCCCATGCTGTTCTCATGATAGTGAGTGAGTCTTATGAGAGCTGATGGTTTTATAAGCGTCTGGCACTTGCCACTCTGTGAGGAAGGTGCCTGTTTCTCCTTTGCCTTCCGCCATGACTGCAAGTTTTCTGAGGCCTCCCCAGCCATGTGGAACTGTGAGTCATTTAAATGATCTTTCTGTTATAAATTACCCAGTCTTGGACATTTCTTCATAGCAGGCTGAGAACAGACTAATACTCCTCCATCACCAAATTTCATCATTGCCCCTTTCAAAATGTATCTTAAATGCATCTGATTCAGTCTGTCTCCTCCCTCATTCTTGCCACTGTTGAGTCCTCTTACTTAGTTCCTCACATCCACTCTTGACTCCCTTTCAAGCCACTCTTCTCTCAGCACCCAGAGGAATCTTTTTGAAATATCCCTCCGAGCATGTTGTTCTTCTCACTAAAATGTGTCAGTGATGACCCATTGCTCTTGAGATAGAAATGTAATTTTTTGCTGTGGCCCACAAGGGTTTTCGTGGTTTGGCCCCGCCTGCCTCGCCAGCATCGCATCACATCACTCTCCACTTTGTTCTTTACATCCTGGCCTGCGTTTTTGGTCTTACACTTCCTGTAGGCTAAACATCTGTCAGCCTCGGGGCCTCTGCACTGGGCTTTTCCTCCATGTGAAACACTTTTCTCTCCTTCAATTAGCCATGTCTTTCCTAACCTAAGGCCTCAGCTTAAATACCATTTTGCCAGGAAAGCCTTCCTTGAGCTCCTAAACTAGGTTTGGTCTTCTTATTATATATTTATATCCCATATTTTATAGTACTTACATTTATCATTTAAATTATTGTGTAATTATCTGCTTCATGTTTGTCTCCCCTGTTAGAGCTATTAGATCATAAGCGCCATGAGGGTGGAAATTATCTGTCTCATTAACTGCCTGGCGAAGCTCCCAGTACAAAGTATATACTTAATAAACATTTGTTGACTGGGTTAAATTATGCATAAAGGCAGGTTTAACAATATGAGTTTAGATTAGGAAGATTATTGTGGAAATTAGAAAAAAGAAGCAAATAAAGTAAACATTGTAAGGAAACAATCAGAGATTGCTATTGGATGATCCATGGAAAAAGATAATCTCACTTCACAAACCTATAAGGAGTAGGCAAAAATACTCCTCTTGCCTCTTGGAGAAAAACCCTGAAAGCAAGATCCTAACAAGTTAAGGAATGCCTCCTACAGAAATTAGAAAGAAAAGTACTCCATAATAAAAAGCTGAGAGACAGAAGGTCAGTCCTGGAGCCTGAGTTTCATCCATGGTCATAAGCACCAATTTTAAGCAGGATTAAAGCCTCATTAAAGAAGCCTAAGAAACATGTTACTTTTTCCAGATATTTGGCACTGACCCAAGGTCAGCACTGGTTTCCCACCATATACACTATAACCTTCTTGTTTTTCACTTTCATTTAGGGGCTGTTAAGTTTAATGATGGCCTGAGCTTAGAGGAGAGTTGCCGCCTTATTGAAGCTCTGTCCTCGTGCCAGCTGCCATTCCAGTGTGCTCACGGGAGACCTTCTATGTTGCCATTAGCTGACATAGACCACTTGGAGCAGGAAAAACAGGTACAGTAATGACTAATAGGAGCAGGAGGGAGCAAAGTTTATCTTCTCTTTCTTTTCTGGCTTTTACTATCCAGCTGTAATCTGTCTTAACCTTTTCCAAAATAGGGGAGTTTTGCAAAATCTGCATTGGAAGTTTCACATAAAGCCTCACCTATTTCATCTTCCAGCTCAAATCCAAATGGAGCTTAGACTGAACTGTTAGGCCACCCACATAATGGCTTTGTATTTTAAAACTTAACACAGGTACAGACTTACATATCCTGAATACCTGTGGCCTCCTGGCTCTAGGTTTGATAAGATGCAGTTCTCCCTGAAGCTACTGAAAGTTGGTAGAAGCACAGCAAATTCACTGTTGGCATGATATAGCCTCAACATCTGGCTTCTTGATAGTACCTGCTGGAAATGGTGATCTGTGACTGTAGCTGGCCATCCCCAAGGATCTCGAGTTATGGTTTGAGGATTATCAGGCAGGGACCCAAGCCTAGGGATCTCTACATTATGCTTTGGTCCTGATTACCCAGCAGCCTGCAAACTACGATGTGGATAATGCAGTAAAGGCACAGAGTGGCTTCAGTTAAGAACTTCTGTCCTTGTTACAGTCTTCAATGAAGGGGAACATGGAGAGCATAACAGGAATGCCCCTGTTGCTGCTTTCCAAAATCTTTTCTTTTGCTAACCTTTCCCTGCAAAGGAATATAAAATCTTTTCTTGCTTGGAGATTTCAGGTACTAATGTTTTCTGACTCAACTAGTTGATTTTACTTCATTAAAACCTCTTTGTTTCACAAAGAAAAATATGAGGAAAGTTTTGTCCCCATTGCCGAAGAGCTGCCATTGATCCTTAAAAAAATCTGTAATCTCTGTTGAATCTAGAAGTTAGAAATCTAAATGGATTATAACAGCATACTTTGGAAATATTTGTATGCTACCTAGATTTTCATACTGCTAATTGAAGTTATCCTTTCTTCCCATAGATTAAACCCAATCTCACTAAACTTCGCAAAATGGCCCAGGCCTGGCGTCTCTTTGGAAAAGCAGAGTGTGATACAAGGCAGAGCTTGCAGCAATCCACGGCTCCCTGTGAGCCACCATGAGAACAGAATCACTGGTCTAAAAGGAACAAAGGGATGTTCACTGTATGCCTCTGAGCAGAGAGCAGCAGCAGCAGGTACTGGCACAACCCTGACTGAATCAGCCCAGTGTCCCTGAGGAGCTTAGACAGCAGGGCTCTTTGTGTCAGTCTTTCTTGAGCAGATGATTCCTCTAGTTGAGTAGCCAGATGGAATTCAAGCCTAAAGACAGCTCATTCATTTGCATCCGTGGACACAGAAGGTTGCCATATAATGTCTACCTTTTGCTGCTTATTTAATGATAAAATTTAATGACTGATCAGTTGCTTGTTGTTTGAAGGTTTTGATTTTTGTTTTCATACAGTTTTTTTTTTTTTTTCAAGCTTCACATTTGCGTGTATCTAATTCAGCTGATGCTCAAGTCCAAGGGATAGTCTGCTTTCCCAGGCTGCCCCCACGGTGTCTCCATTGCGCCCCTCTTTTCCCTTCAGTCTTCTTCACTTCCTGTGCTGCTGCTTCACGTGCTACATCTCAGGCTTAAAGAGTTTCTCTACTTTCAGTGAAAACATTCCCTGAGGTCTTTCAGCAGGCCTCTAGTTACTTTAGGGATTAAAAACTATTGATTAAAAGAAGGACAAGGGGTCAGGCACAGTGGCTCATGCCTGTAATGCTAGCACTTTACAGGAGGCTGAAGTGGGAGGATCACCTGAGGTCAGGAGTTCAAGACCAGCCTGGCCAACGTGGTGAAACCCCGTATGTACTTAAATAGATAGATAGATAGATAGATAGATAGATAGATAGATAGATAGACAAGGATAGAACAGAGAAAATTTAAAGTCCTGTTCCTGGTTTTTTGTTTTGTTTTGTTTTCTTTAAAAACTCAGAGACTGATGTTCATATCCCAAACTAGTAAGATGGTGAAAATACTGTGAGGTGTTTTTTTTTTTTTTTTTTTTTTTTTTTTTTTTTTTTTTTTTTTTCCTTGAGGCAGAGTCTCTGTTGCCCAGGCTGGAGTGCAGTGGCGTGATCTTAGCTCACTGCAAACTCCCCCCGCCTCCCCCACTCCCCCCACCCCCCCAGTCAAGCAATTCTCCTGCTTCAGCCTCCTGAGTAGCTGGGATTACAGGCGCGCACAACCACACCTGGCTAATTTTTGTATTTTTTGATAGAGACAAGGTTTCACCATGTTGATCAGGCTGGTCTCAAACTCCTGACCTTGTAATCCGCCTGCCTCACCCCCCCAAATTGCTGGGATTACAGGCGTGAGCCACAACGCCTGGCCAAGCTTGTTTTTAAAATATAATTTTTTTTCTTTTTTCTTTTTTTTTCTTCCCAGAAAATATATTCTATCATATAAAATATGATTTTGGTGGGGGGTACTTTATAAAATATCTCTTTATGTGAAAGCACTTGTCATATCAAAACACAGCATATATTCAACCTAACCAAATATGTTTACACTTTTTCTTTCAGGAGACAAGGATTCTTTGGGTCGCTTTCAAATGGTATCTTGGTGTTACTACATTATGCCTATCTATTGCCCATATAATTTCACTTGGGACCAGGACTGATCATTCTGCAAATGCTTGTTAGGCCATTCTCAATCTATTTCCCCCCACCTTTTCACATGATTTGTGGTTAATAGGACTCAATAGAGTAAAATTGCACAGTAGGAAAAAAAAAGCAAAAAGCCAGCTGGCGATGTTTATTGCAACTGGGGTGCTATACAATTAGTAAGATGATGCAATGAGAATTTCCACTT